CTATCTCTCGCCTATACTCGTATCGTTTGTCTTACATTCCTCACTTCCCTTTCCTCTCGTTGCTTTCAGTCCTTTTCAAACCCATTTTCTACACACTCTAAGATGTCTGTTATCCATGTGTACAACATCAGCTCTTATAGTGTTCATTTCACATGCACTTGACAAGCAAACATTTATATAAATATGTGTATAACAAAAACGTCCTGTAACCTTTCCCTTGAGAGAATAGTAAAGGGGCCTTCTTCTCCTGGTCATGGAGAGGGCACACACACACACACACACACACACACACACACACACACACACACACACACACACACACACACACACACACACACACACACACACACACACACACACACACACACACACACACACACACACACACACACACACACACACACACACACACACACACACACACACACACACACACACACACACACACACACACACACACACACATTGACTTTACAACACTCCACTGTGTTTCTCACGTGTCCTTCTCCTATCACCAACAAGGTCGAATCACCTTAACCATCTGCACACTTCATCTGTTTAACATTAGCAGCACAACATAGTTTCTGCTTGTTTGGTGAGTTTTTTTACAGTACCTATTCTCCTGCCCTAATATGGAGAGTTTGGGCATTGTTGCTAACTGTAGTAGGTCACAGAGACAGCCGCTGTTGCTCCGCTATGTTACCCACACCATCATTTACAGGGGCAAACCAAACACCCATGTCGCACAGCCTGGGACTGAGGGTGTCAAACATGCAGGATGAGCTCTGACGAGCCCAGCAGCTGCTCCATTCCCCCAAAAAGAAACCCACCGATCTCAGAAAAGAGTTACAGTACATCATTCATGTGCAAACATAGGAGTAGACAAAATGTCAACTTTCAAATGAAACTTGCAAGCGCTCTTTATCCAGCTTTTGCCGAGGTAAATTCTCACACATGGCCCACACTGTTTATGTTGCGATGCTGAACAGCCTGGTTGGAGAAGCTGCGATCACACTGAATTACACATACGTTGATGTGAATCCCAGAATACAGGTCTGTGATTTTGAACTACCCATAAATCGGTGGTTAAATCCGATCCATCTCTGACACTTGCTTCTATCTTAGAGGGGGGATACTGGCTAATTCTTAGGAACAGTGAGGGGTCTCATTTCCGTTTTCCATTAAGGCGCACATGGTTCTAATCATTGCTTTCTGAATGAGTTTCTCACTGTGCTGGTGGTCTCCTGCAGAGACACTTCGCTGATCGCTCTCAACCATGATATGAAGCAAAGCCTTTTTGTGACAGCAGGAGTCAGAGCTATAGGGGCAGCTGCCATTACAGGTTTTACATTTCATTTTGAATTACATAACATTACGCCACTCTTGTTGAGCACCATCCTCAAATGTTTTAAATGTGATTTCAGGGAAACATTATGACTAACTGTCCACTCACAGACACCGTGTGTATACAGTCTGCCTTTTATTGAAGTAATATGCATTAGATTTAGAGCTAGCCCCGATATAGATCCATATAATAAGCAAGTGTCAAACCTGAAAGATTTTTGCTGCCGCAGCATGTGTCCATCTGAGCTTTGCCGTGGTAAAGGAAGGTGGAACAATACCACAGCACCGGCAGTCACAACTTGAGCGTATAGTGATAACACAAGTGGACAAGGGCAGGAAGGACAAGGGGTTTCTGAAAGGAAACAGCTAAGAACTGAGTTTTCAACACCTCTGTGACTGTGTTCGAGAAAAGGAGAGGGGCATGAATAATGAAAAGTGTTTTCAACTGGAAAAGGAAAAGAGCAGATGTGCACAGCAGACTGTCACATCAAATTGGGAATTAGAAATATGTGCAGCCAGAAGATTTATTAGGTCATCTGAAACAGCATAATGAGAAGAATTAGCTTTGCCTTGATACAACCCTCATTCCTAAACACTGGTCTGCTTTCAAGTATTTGAGGGAGCTGGGATCTGTCCATGGTGCTGAAATGACTCCCATTTCCTCCCCAGCCCTCTCCTTATCCCCGCCTATAACTCTGTGTTGAATAATTTAGACATCATTTAACAGCTAACAAGGATCAGTGAGTTCGGTCAGGTTAATGGTCGTCTTATAGCTACAATCTGCGGGTGAAAGGTATAAGCCCCCCGGCCATGTAATATGAAAGCAGCGGTACAAACTGTACACTTTATCCGGTTTGACGACGCTTTCCAGCGTGCCCACACAAAATACACTGTGTCCAGTCCGTCCATTATTTCCTCCCATTCTGCAGCAGGCCAGTGCTCACACACATTTCCTACAGAAGAAACACACACTGCCCACTGCTGGACAGTAGCATTATCTTCATTCACAAATGATGAAGGTCAGACGTCCAAAAAAAAAAGAAAAGAAGATGGTGGGATGTAATAAATAAACTGCGAATGTGCTTGAATAAGGTGATAATTAATACTGGGGGGAAAAAGCAGAAATGTGTGATAGTATGAATCATCTGTCTTTCACTGAGCAATTGAGCTCATTTTACAATAATCATAAACCATATTTCAAAGTGTATAAGTACGCATTTGACAACTACTACTTTTATTTTACCCCGCTTTTTTTGTACACTGTACATTCATCCAACCAGAGAGTCTACTTTTGCTGCATCTCAGACTAAAAAAGGTCCCAGAGCAGTGGACAAACAAAACCAGAACTCAAACACTATCAGGGCCAAATCTATCTGTTATCTAAGCAGCGCCAATATTTCCCAGAATACACAGGGAGGGCATATACTATAAATCTAAAATGGGCTGAAGCACTTAAAGCTTATCAACGCATTCACAGTATAAGGGAGAACACTTTCCTCTTATCCCATCCAGGGAACAAAAAAATAAGTTCAAACTGTGACAGTGATTCTTTTTGAAATATGTATCTGATTGTAGTCGTGCGTCTTACACTGGCTGGATGCTGAGGCAGCTCCGCTCAGGGATGTAATGGGATACTGCAGCACTAGAGAACCGTGTGCACAGAAACTTGCCTAGAAGCATCAGGGAGTCCCGCACTAACCTCCCCCCTCCCTCTCTCTCTACTCCCCCTCTGCTTTTCTGTTAAGTATTTTAATGACAAAAAACGATAATTAAAGTATGATGTTTAAATGTAAATGTGATGCCTAGTGAAAGAGGGCATATGAGCTAAACAGTGATGAAAGGGATACCCCCAAAGAAAAACTTCAAAAGTGTTAAAAAAAACAGCATGCCTGTAGTAGGAGGAGAACGGAGCTGCTTACCGTTTTTTGGCCGGTCGCTCTCCTCTGGACACCGAAGCTCTTCCCCTTCTCCACAGGCTCCGAGACACTTTGAGATAGAGAGAAAAATGATCAACCTTCTCTTACTTTCTCTTATTTCCAGTTTTAGAATGAACAAGTCAGGAGTCTAACACAGCCATTTGGACACACCTTTACCCTGTCCTCCTGTAAACTCTGCCACATATACACACACAGGCACCCATTCAAATGCACCCCAAGACTGGAGTACACAAATTGATAAAGATCTGCTCAGGGGAGGGATAAAAACTACACACACTCACACACTGCAGTTTTTTTTTCTCCCTTCCTCTTGCCCACTCGCTCTGCTGCTTTTTTCCTGCTGTCTTTGCCTGCACTGCCTCCTGATTGGCTAAGCTGCTCTTCAATAACATAAGCTCTCTTCTTTAATTGGAAGTGGGCCAGTTGTGTGGTGCATCAGAAACCCTCCCGCCTTGCTCATCTCTCCTTTTTTTTTTTTTTTGCCTAAGTGCCTGTGGAGAAGAATGCTGAGCTGTGCAATTTCATACGCATCGAGCGAAGAGGAAAAAAAAGGGAATGGAGGACAGAGGAGGGTGGGGGGAGTGTGTGGGAGAGAAAAGTGAGAGTGGGGGAGAGCATCGGCGTCGAAATCACTGGACCGCAGTGGGACAAGCAGAAGCTGCACGGGAACAAAGAGAGGGGAAGGGGCTATTTGGTGGAAACAGGTTAGATTTGGATGCACAGTCGCACCAGCCGCAGCGTGTTGAGGGGATGCAGCGGGTCAGATGAAAGGAGATTTCCCTGCATGCACTGCAGCGTGGCAACGTGGCTCTGCTGCAGTGTGGAGTCTAATTGCCAGGCAAGAAGGGGGATGGGAAGGGAGGAGGAGAGGGAGGAGGAGAGGGGGTTGGTTGCAGTGATGCCGAAGTACAGTCTTCCAGCCAACCGTGGATATATGGGGGGGGGGGGGGAGCCGCAGTGTACAGCGGTTAATGCCTTTTCCTCATGAATTATTGAAGGTGCTTCAAAGGAGAGAGGGAGGGTCACAGACGGCAAACTACTGACACTGTTCAGACAGTCTCACTGCCACCGAGGTCCACTATAATTACTCACACACCTGAAGTACACGTCGTCAGATTATTAAATGGAGCCCCCTTCAGTTAGATTATTTCAACTAATGTGATAGACTGCTTTAAATGGAGATTGTGCCGTATCAGCCCTCTGCTTTCCACTTCAGTTCGTGTTAAAAGGCTTTTGTCATCCCGGGGAAAATGTATGTGTGTGATTGACTTTGTGGTGTCAGGTTTCCTGCCACTCTTTTTCTTTTGACTCACATCTGGTGCCTCCCATGTGTCCCAGCTGCTTTGAAGAACAATACCAAAGCAGATCAATACTTGGTCCATCTGCAGAGGCAACAATGAGCACTCTAGAAGTTATACGACGCCCACGGAGAAATACAAATACACTGTTTGCTCAATCAACAACCTAATTGCCCTGGTGGATGAATGTGCAAATATAGAGATGCCTGATATGTTAAGCTCAATATCCTGTTGTGAAATGCCATGTGAGCAGAAGGGACAGGTGAACAAATGCCAGTATTATCTGCATATAGTGAGCAATCTAGATGTGTGTGTGGAAAGCAGCTGTTACCTTGTCAAATAGCTTAAACTGGGTATAAGTGGCTGTAGATACAGATAATAGTTGATCAGTATCTTTTTTGCAAAATAAATTAGAGTTGACTTTTGAAGTGCAAAAAAACATTTATTTTCAAGTTTTCTATACAATTGTCCACTGAAAAATGGCAACATGTGGAACAAGAACATAAAACTGCATTTTGATGTCAATAAACTAACTTTTCAATCAATCATCTGAGCATGTTGTCCTTCATCACTTTGCTCTCTGGTCTCTCGGGGAGGCTGTAGACTGTGATGGAGATGTTTGTGGGTTTGAAGATCTGCTCCAGTATCTCTGCCACTTTTTTCCACTGCAGTTTATCCAGGCCACAACCAATACTGTAAACAATGGAGAGACAACACAAAGCATCACATTCAAAATAAAGTATTTATCTAGCAAAATGTGGCTTTTGAACCCTGGATGACTAGGTATTTCTAAATGACTGAAATATTATACAAACCGAGGCATTGATATTCTGGTTACACTGTTACTTTCACAGTGTGACCTCATGTTCTCCAGGCTTTGTGCCAGGCTGTCATAGGTGGGCTTTTGGCTGGCCTTTTTCTTTGTAATCTTTATTAGCATAACAGAAAAGTATCAGTAATAATATGAAGTACAACATATGTGTTAAAATTTGAGATTTCATAGGTAAAAATTCTAATTAACTGCTACATCTTTACCAGATAGTAGACGAAACGACTCTCTCTTTTTAGAACAGCGCACTCTCCTGTCAGCTTTTCTGTTTGGAGATAAAAAGATAATATTCCCATCAGAATAAGACACTATACAAACGCATATTTGCCTGAGTTTGTATAATGAAACTCATAATACAAACTCAAGGCATGTTTGTTTGAAGCCCGAAACTGAAAGCATTATTGAAGAAGCCATTACGAATTCATGCTGTGCAAAATAAATGTCACAGATGTTGATTTAAAATGTTAGTGGTGATCCTTCAGTTACCAAAGAAGACAAACATGGGGGAATGCATTTTGGATAAATGTGTACAAAATGATGCATCAAGAATATTGTCATGTGATGGGATGATGATCCAACTTCAGTATCAACTGATACAGAATAGATGTGGGATACTGTGTAGAATAGCATCCAGTATTTTGAGAGCTGCTTCTCTGTGCAGAACAACATGATGCCAAAATGGCAAAAAAAATCGATGCCCCCAAAAATAGGACACTTCACTCCTGATTAATTTTTAATAAAAGGGCTGACTCACTCTGCTCCTTTAGCTCCTCTACCCCTTTGAATTTCTTCTTGAACATCACTGCTATGCCTGCCCCCATGCGGCAGTCCTCACTGATGCAGTGGGCCAGAGCCTCGTCCCTGGGGCAGGAGAACAGGTCCCCGGTCACATAGCTCACTGACCAGCGGTCTTCTGCGGGCTGGACGGCAGGGGGCAGCATTGCACCGTGTGGTGAAAGCACAATGATAGCACAACAAATAAACACTGGTGCATAGGAAGGGAAACTATGATAGAAACATCCCATGTAAAACCAAGATAATTATATATTTTGTTCGTGTAGGTATTAGCTTTACCTTAGCGCTGTCAGTGTTGATTGGTCTTTCAAGTGCAGATGACATAATTTGAACACTTGAGCGGTGAGTTATTCGGTGTGTCTTTCTTGAACACTCAAAAAAACTGCTAAGAGACTTGTTAGCTAGCTTATAGTGCGTCATTAATATAACTTACAAAAAGTTGACTGTAGGTGGTCGCTTTAATGCTGAATAAAGGTACTTTCGGTATGCTTCTGGATAGCTCATTTACTAGTCACTTTACATGGTTGAAGCTGGAGCAGCCACGGAATATGCCTATCCTCTCGCGAGAAAACACGATACTTTGTGGTATAAATTAAACAAAACAGCAGCTGGGTCACATGATCTGTCCCATGTCAGCTGACTGGATCCGAGCAATAGGAATAGGTACAAATGTTAACTCAAAATAAATAACTAATCAAAGATAAAATTATAATAATACAAAAAAATACAAATAAAAAAATAAATACATAGACAATAAATAATAAAATAATAATTAATATTGATACAATATTAATAATAATAAAATAATACAAAAACTTACAATAATAAAAGAAAGAAAAAATTGTAATAAATACATAAAAAATTATAACAACACAAAATTAAAAACATATATAAATACATTAAATATAGTTATAATGAAAAAATAATGTGTGTTATAATAATGTGTGTTCTGTTTTATTCTCAACTCTTATGTATTTATTTATACATTCATTTATTTTTTTCCATATTTACTTATGCATTTATTTTATTTATTTATTCCTGTATTTATTTCCACATTTATTTATTTATACATTTATTTATTCGTCTATTTATTTATCTATTGATTTATTTATTCATGTTTTTATTCATACATTTATTTATGCATTTATACTTACGCCATGTTCCGTCCTCCATAACCAACACCATCCTGAGAATTGGTCTAAACATCCTAAATCAGTAAAAACACCATGTGGCGGCTTCATTCATGTTTATTGAACCCTGTTATGCTACTTTCATGGCACAAGAAAATACAATCATAAATATCTGTAGCATCTATTAATTACAGACAAATAAAGAGCTGTGTAGACCATAGGTAAATATGGTCAAATCTAATATTATCAAAGTGTTGAACCTAAACCAATACAAATAAAGTGTTTGCTCCTTAACAAGCGTTATTTTGTAAACAATGTCAGGCTAACTTTTGTTATATCTTTTACAGAGAAACTGCAATATAACACAACACTGCATGTCCATCTGCAACATCATCTGAGTTGACAAAATGGTGGTATGGAGACGACGACCATTGCACAGCCATGACACAAAACTTCCTTTTATCTGGGCACACATTACCATTATCATCCCACAGAGCCATTACAGCAGCCTGACACAGACCCTTTGAATAATTCATGAAGCATTTTAAGCTGTCAGAAATCTGTGACAAACACTCACCATCTCCATTTTCATCGACCCGCTCAAATATCCGGTCAACCATTTGGTCTGGGGTCAGCAGATTGCATTTTTCAGCCAGCTTTCCATGGCAGGCCTTTTTCAGTTGATAAATAGACTTTGAGGGACAGGAAATAAGTTACAAAAGCTTTTGCTCTCACTATATGTTATAGCATATCATTCATTCATCGTATAAAGAAATATGCACGGATAAAACAACGCATAGCTTTCAGTATGGGATTTATCTGCCGATCATTTCCTCAATAAATTGTTACTAAAATATTGAAGAACACACATCTGCAGCCTCCTTGTTATCTTTTACACCAAAAAATCCCTTAAACTTGTGCACGAAGAGTCCCACTTTGGCACCTCATAACACATTTATGTTGTACTATTCTTGCAGCTGTGCCCATGGATGTATAATAAGAACGGCTGTACCACATCGATTTCCTTGTCTGGGTCACTGTCCTCGCTTAGGCGCCGACCCATTGAGGAAATCTTCTCTTCAAAGACTGAAATAATTTCTTACATTACATGAAACCGTTTGACCTTGGTGACTTTTAAAGCTTGCCTCTACATTACGACATCCACGGAGCCCTCAGCTATCTATCGCACCAATTGTTGCAACAAACTTAGTGCAAATGTTTTCAAATGTTTCAAAATTACCGAAATAGTCCACACTAGTGGAATTGTAATTGTAGTCAGGAGGACTGTTATGGATCACATTATAAAGGATTAGAAATGGCTAAAATCATTTAGTTCACAGACATCATGAGTGGATTTCTTTGTGGCCCTACTTCCTACTTAAGCTATAAAATACATCTGTTAGCTTTGTATAAACACACAAACATTATGAATATATGTTTGCACAGTATGTCTAAAGACTTGGTGGTGTTTGAAGTTAAAGGCGCTAAAGTAAACTCGGGTTTCACACAGGCCAAGAGTCTTGTTATCCCTGACAGCTTTGACCTTCATAAGCCATGTTATTTTCTGCTACCCTGATTACTGTTTACCCGACTGCTGCAGTCTCACTGAAGCCTATAATAAATGTAGCTAAATTCAGTGATGAGGGGTATTACAACTAGGCACCAAGAGGGTAATTATGTGTTTTAGGAAGATGGGTGGAAACATCTAGAAAGCATTTCAGTGTTGGTCAGCAAATGAGTCAATGGAAATTTGGAAATACCTGCATTGACATTACAATAAGAGTGTCATTGTTAGTGGTAGCCATTGTTGACAGGCGAGAGCTTGGACTGGTCTAATACCTTCCTCTGCTGACGACAGGATAGTGATAATCATAGCTTATAAGGCTATATGAGGTGTCACTAGATATATTCTTCAAGTGATTATTATTATTCTCACGTACAATTATTATATATATATATATATATATATCAAAGCAGGTTTAATTTGAGCTTGTTAACCAACCTATTGTTGCGTATTAGCATCAACACATTTATCAGATAAGCAACCAACATCAATTGCAAGCATTTGATCATAAAGCAAAGCATTGGAAAGGTTTGTACCAGATGGCGCTACATTAAAAATCAGGAGACCATTATAATTCAACCTCAGGGATTCATGAATGTGTGTACATTAGGCATGTTATAAAAAACCTCATTATGCATGTTGCTCATTATGGTATGGTGTGCATTGCAATCAGAACTTTAACATATGTTGCCAGCATTCCAGTCAAAGTCCAGCTAAAGACAGATTAGTTTCACAGGTGAGCAGTCGGGAACATAGTGTTGGACAAGAGGATTTTTTGGGGGTGTTGAGTCGCCCATGTAGCTAAAGAGGTTGAAGACTTCAAGGGGGACACCTCAAGCGTGGCTAAAGGTCAATCTAAATAATTCAGTGGCCCTCATTGGTCTGCAGTTATGAAACAAAACTGGATTTGCAAGTCAAGAAAACAAACACCTTAATATTAACCAAGCATACCACAGTTTGAATTTTAGCATTTATTGCTTTCCACGAATACTATGATACAAGCTCAAGCACTCAATTTCCAGCAATTATCAGTGTTATGAAGGCAGTGGACATGTATAACAAGTCTACAAAAAAACATTTACAGATGTGTACTGTCAAAATCCAAGCTATCAAAAGAGATATTTGTACAACTAAGGTATTACATACAGAAAGTGTAAAAGTACTTTGTGTTGTGTGACAGATTTTGATGCAGAAATGGCCAAACCATTCATTTATAAAAACCAAACTGGTGACTAGTGGCAATATTTTGTGTTTACATTGGCCGTTTAAAGTGAGAAAGCAAAACTATGACATTTCCACATCCTTCAAGGGGTTAATGAAAACAAGTGCGATTTAATTTTAATAAGCAATACAAGTGCTTCATAGAAAAATCTGACGCCTATGAAGTGTTGCTGCGCATTCTTAATGGCATGTGTTCATACACATTCATCAGAAAAATAGTCAAAACAACTATGCTGAGGCCAAGACACAACTCAAAATGCTAAATGTATCTTTTTTGGAAATACATGCCAAAGGACTTAAGAGTAATGAAATTACTATACATCATTTATCAAGGTTAAATTATAATGCTTATATAAAAATCAATGAATAAAGGGTTAGAAAAAGTTTTAGTCAACAGTGAAAAAAGTCTCCATAATCTTGAAATCCTTTCCTTCCAGTTTTACGACCAGCTGATGTGTAGACTTTGAGTATTTGAGGGATCGTTCAGTGAGGGATCTGAGGTCCGTCCTGGTCCTGAAGTCCACAGACATCATGAGTAAATACCCTTTGTGTGATATCATACAGTGTAAAAAAAAAGTCAGTTGGCAGGCGGCCTCAAGTTAGTCATTTTCCTCGTGCTCTGTTTCAGTCTTTGCAATGTTTGAACTGTCAGCGTTGCCCTCTGCTGACAAGTCAGGTGAACTACTAGAAGAGGGGAGCTGCTTGTCGCCGGGTAGACCTTCTCCATCGCTGCTGCTGCTGCTGCTGCTGCTCTCCGTATTTTCCTCCTCGACGCTTGGACTCTTCTCTGATGGAGCCTCAGGTGGATCCACAGTGTTAACCTCTGCCAGACTTGGGTCCTTTACCTTCTCAGACGATTCTTCTTCCCCTTCAGAAAGTCCTGTCTGTGTGCTGCTGGGCTCTGAGGACAAGAAGGGACAATATTAAGACTGCTGCTAACAGTCATCTTCATTATAGGCTGTTAAAATGTAAAGATGTTATAGAATTACAGACGGCTTTAGTTATGCATAAAGCAAAAAACAGAATACTGCCAGAAAATATACAAAACTAATTTGTTTTAATTTCAAAGGATGATTATCATAGGAGGAAATTAAATGTTAAGCATCAGTTTGCACGCACTACTTTAAAGCAGATGTGTGTCTGTAGTTGGTGTAAAGAAGTGGAATTCTTTGCCGAATTATTTGAAGTAAGAACATTTTTTATGTTTAAGAAAATGTATAAAGAAAGCGTAATTAGTTTCAGTATTTGTAAGCAGCTGTGACTGAAAGAATATTGCTTTTATTTTACTTTTTTATGGTTATTTTGTTTTGTTTTTTAAGAAGGGGCAGGTCAAATAAGATTTTCTTCTCCTTGCTCCTTTCCACAATGCGCAAACAATAAAATTAAAAACCAGTATAAGTGTACATGTTTTGTAAAGTGTACATGTTTTGTTTTAAAATAACTGCCATGTGTGGAATAAATAAATAATTAGTCATTCCTTTGTTTATATGTATAGGGAAACCACAAACATACATATTGAAGAAGCTACTACCATATAATGTTTTCATTCATCCTTCAGAGAAGATCCCACTTACCATCATCCTCTGAAACAGTATGTGTTTTACAAGATGTTCCTCTTTTGTCTTCTGACGAGCTCTCTGACTCTTTACAACAAGAAGATTCCTTTTCTCCACTTCCCGTTTCATCCTCTTTCTTTTGGTCAAACTTAAGTCTCTTGACCTCACGTTTGTCCGCTTCAGAATCCTCCTCTTCCTCCTCGGGGTGTTTGTTCTTTATCCCGCTGCTTGTTGTAACACCACCTGCTGATGGCGAGGAATCACTGCAGAAAGAACAGAAACACAGGGTATCAGTTGGTGAAATGATATACTTACTTTTAAAGCAATAAGTAGCTCATATTCTGTATAGTCTGTTAATGATGGGGTCTTGAGAGCATGTGATTATGGATGTAAGGGTTTGACAGATATCATCAGTGTTTCTGCATCCCAAATAAACAATCTTCTTTTCCACTATATATATTTTTGCTGCATCCTGTGCTTGGCACCACCCAGTTTTAATTGTGATTGGTTTAAAGAAATACATAGGGTTTTTCTCCAGAATGTAAATGGCTGCGGCCACCTTTCTAGAGATTAGGGTGAGTTGTTACTAGTACACTTCACACTCACTCAATGCCACATATGTACAACACTTTTTTCATTCACCTCCTAAGATGCTCCTCCGCCCCCTCTGTGGTTGGCTCTGGCTCTTTACTGATTGTACAGTCTGGGAGTCCGTTGGAGGAAAGTGAGGACGCCTGTGACAGCTTTGGTCTGGTGAGCGGTTTTGGTGTGTCCGGTCCATTTACATTTCGACTGCAATAACAAGAGATCAGTTTAGAGTACCTTTTAGCCATCATTTCTCACACAATTCATATTACAAAATGGCAAATCAGCAGAAATAGTCAAACCCAAAATGACAGGCAAGCTATATCTGCCCTTACTGTGGCCTCATTCAACTTTCCACATGGTGGTGTGGTGTATGAGGCATATTTTATATTTGTGGAAGTCAATCATTGACAAATATGTGGCTCCCACCTGTCTGAATATAGAGAAGAGTTACCAGGAAACATCACTCCATTCATTCTGTTTACACTGGATGCCCCATTTTTCCTTCGAAAGAAGTAGAAAGGCACAAAAAATACCAGCTGTTAATGGTCACTTTGTAATTGTGACTGAATCAACAAAGTCAAGGGAGCTGTCAATGTGCACCAGAAGCAGCTTTACAGGAGTACTGCAGGCAGCAGAGCAAAGGGAGCAAAAGCGTAACAGCTGATATACTTACTCTGATGCGGGGTACATACAGCTGACCACCATTACATTCTGCAAAACATTTAAAAAAATAGTGTGTATTAGAATTTAATTCAAAGTTTCAAATAGTTCAAACTAAATGCATGAATATTGTTTATCTCTAGAAAAAACACTTATTTCTCACCTTCTCTAAACCCATGAGAAACTTATGTGTTCCTGTGTAGTTGCGCTTGGGGTCCATAAGGAGTTCACATAGACGCTGGATGGTGAATGGGATTCTGGAAATGTGATCAAGAGATATCTTTAGGATTAGCAACGCATAGCCGTTTTACAGCCAGCATCAACACTGCCAAATCCTGGCAGCGCTGAATGAGAAACAACTTGGATCGATCTGAACAGACTGGGTCACACATTATTTATGAATCTTGACTGTTTGTCGACATCTACAGGGTTGCTTGCAGTTTGTAAAGTGGCTTATTATCAGCTTTACTCACCCATGGTAACCATCCACTATTTTTAAGATCCTCGTCTTCATCTCTTCGAAGGGAACATAGTCCACATTGGGATTATGTGGCGCTCTATGTTCCGGTGTTGAAGCATGGAAATCATCCATGACTTTTTCCAATTTAAACACAAAGTACGTTTTGAACTGCGACCATGAGATCCTGGAAAAATATTGGAAATGCAAGACTGCATGTCATACCGAAAAAATGAAAAGTGTTGGAAAGAATTAAACAAAAAGCTTGATAAGAATCAGAATGAGTCCAACAGGCAGGTTTCTCATACAGTAGATCTGATGTATGTGTGTGAACTACTACTCACATTGGTTGCCCCGTCTTGGCAACATGACCCAAGAATTGCTCTAGTTCAGGACAGGTCTCATTCTTGCCTTTCTTCTCAAATTCTGTAAGTGCCCACAAGCAAAATAACAACAACATAGTTAATAAGTTGATTAGTAATATCTCAACCGACCGGACCAACCTACCTGAACTAAACAGAACCAAAGATTGTTTTACCTGTATTAACATTAACCTAAAATTGGAACTTTTCAAAACAAGCCAGAAGCCCATTCTGCAATTAGATATGAATTTGTTCTGGAAATTATTCTGCAAAGCTGTTAAACCACATTTCATTTCATGCTACTTCAGGCATATTGATTCTACTCTAACAATGATCAAATTATTGTCGTGTCAATTACTTAGTGAATATGTGCTGGAGAGGCAAGGAAAACAAGTTAAACACAACATCATATAATCGTCAAACACCAATTTGAGTTTCCTAACAGGAAAGTTCTTGCAAAAGTTGGTCAAGTTAGCTTGTGTTTTGTGATGCTACCCAGCTAGCTGTTTACATAATCTATCAATCCGGTAATACATAGGTCGAAAGTGTAGCAAGCAGTGAATGTATTTCCTGCAGAGAATAACATTACACTAACTAGGCCATGCAGAGACAGATCAGAATGTCCCTAGGTGGTTATTCTCAACGCTAATCGCTGTTAGTAAGCTAAATTGAGGTAATGCACGTAATGTATTTAGCAAGCATTAAGGCACTCTTTCAAGGCATAACAACACATTTCAAAATCATTCACAAAAACATAGCCTTTGTTTAAATAACTGTAAATATTACCTTGAAACGCCTCCAATAACGCGTCGATGTCCATAGCTGTGTCCAGTCACAGGCAGGAAATACTTGCTAGTTAGCAGTAGCATGTAGCAACCCAACAAAGCTGCTGGTAGGGCGGACTGCGCATGTCACAAAATGACGTATTCACATAAACAGAAGATTGCAGTTCAACCTCAGATCATGGATTTTTCTTTTTTTATTAAAGAACATTTATGAACATCATATCATTTGTGTACACACAAATTCACATCAGGGGTAGACAAAAGTAAAACAAAATTACATTAAATAAATACATTCTAATAAAGAAAAAGATAATAATACAGTTATGAATCCAAACTTCATTTAAATATATGTTACATAATTAGTTTCGATTTTTTTTTTCATCATACTGTTTTTAATAGTGATACTATATTGTTTTAATTCTTGGTGAGATCATGGATGACAACTGGAGCGGGACCCCGTTCATGCAAATGTCCCCTCTGTGGGACTAATAAAGGTATTCTGATTCTGATTCCTATGAAAGTTGCTCAGTGGCGATAAGCCAAAATAGCCTGCCTTTCGAGAGCAAAAGCACCCGTCTGTGGGCCTATAGAGCATGCGCACTTGAGTTTTCCCTTAAGCCCCGCCTCCGATGTCCCTCTCTCGGTTCAGTCAGAATGGAGAGAGAAAATAACTCTGGATTCAGCTTTTATCGCAATTTAAATGCATCTCTTTCCCAATGTAAGTTAATGGGGAAAGTATTTTTGGGTCTAACGTCACGAAAGTTGTAGTACCGCCATTTGACCACTACAAAATGTGCCTCAACTTCCGGCGCACTTCCTGGGGGGTTTGTCTGAGATCAACAAAGCATTTGATTTGAATGCCCTCACAGAAACGGAATATAAGTCTTCATTGAAATAGTGTTTATTATTATAGCACTATATGTAGTTTCAATTAAAGCATTTGTGGACTTCAGTGACAGAAACTTCTGGGTCTCTCACAGATCACGGTCAGCGGGCGTCATCGCTTCTCTGACGGTGCAAACCGGTGGAGCGTCCAATGATTCAACAGCTGATCGGGGTTAATTTTACCCTACCAACCTATATATATAACGACAGCCCGGGTGAAACATCTGCACAAGAGACCGGCTAGTTTTAACGAAGTCTTTCGGGTTTTAAGAGGAAACAATGGCAGTTCCTGTAGCTGCATTACAACTGAGCACACCATCCAGCCCCAGTCTGCTGGAGCACAACATTCAAAACAACAACAACGATTTAGGGAGGATTTCAAGGGACAATGACAACGACACTCTGCCTTTACATTCTTCTTGGACCTTCTGGCTTGATAGGTAAGACACTGCTTGTGTATTTGTTTCCCTTGATCGTTATATTGTCATGAGTGTCAAGTCGGGGAACTCTTTGTTGCTGACCTTTTGATGAGAACAAAGAAGAGACATCACAATGTATCAGGCCTGCTATAAATCGGCATTTTTTCCAACCCAGAACACATATTGTGTGTTTAACAGCTATTTAGGTATTGTCTGGTTTATTAAATGGCATAATAATAACATAACAACAAACAGTTCCTTGCAATTTTGTAATGGCAGCTTTTGTTGTTGTTTTTTCTCTGACCTACATACTTGCTGGAAGGATCATAAAGGAAACAAAAGGGCGTACTTATTAATAACTGGTTAATCATAATAACTATATTTAAAACAAGGTCAGCTCATCCGGAGCCGTTATAAGAAATGTGTTAAAAACTAATGGTGTCACTCCTCATGTGTTGAATTTGTGTTTAGTTAAAACTTACCAAGCCATTGCTTTATAAAAACTTCCCAATTTAAAGTTATTATATAAAGAGTTATTTCAGAATGAATGTTAGGCAACAACAGAGGTTAACACAGGTGACCGTGAGTTGAGTAACACGTCAGAGGGTGCTGTGTTCAAACGGGGTCAGTGTTGTTTACTCTGGATTATTTGTCATTTGATTCCCCCCCCCCCCCCCCCCCCCCACACGTCTGCTCAGCAAACAGCTGAAAAATGTCTGAGTAATGTAGCACTGGAAATAATGCATTAGGGCGATGCTAAGCTAGATAAGATAAGAGGAACTACATTCTGAACAAGCTTTTGACTTCTAAATTCACATAAATTATTATTTATTTTTGTTAGATCTCTCCCAGGAACTACAGCAGCTGAATGTGAGTCAAACTTGAAGAAAATCTACACCGTAGAGACCGTCCAGGTGAGAGTCTTTACAATCTTGAATAGTTTCATAACCTCTACATTGTGTGGAGGTATTGACACATTTCAATAGCAAACAATAGCATTATGGGGGGAAATCTGAAGGTTCAATAGCAATACATATTTTTTTCAAATGCACTGTTGGCATTGGTGTGTGTCATTATCTCCTTACTAATAACGAGTTTAGAGAGCTACATAGCATGTGTTAAAAATGTTGACATCGTAACCCCTGCTGTAAATCTGTATAGTTACCAAATTACTGATTACTGCCATTATTATTATGTGATTATGGCAACCTGTTATAGAGCTCAAGTACCACTTCATAAATACGTAACCACATCGATGTTGGATAAAGAGTGTGTGTGTGGTTAAGGGCAATGAGGAAAAGATCTTTGGCAGTGATTTTCTACATCGTAACAAATGTGATACATTAACACGGCCAAGTGTGCCCTCCCTGTGCCAGTAAAGAGCTCACTAAAACATGTGTTTTCTTCCCTTCCTCATTGACCCTGGAGTAGAACTTTTGGAGAGTTTACAACAACATACCCAGCGTCTCCAGCTTGCTAATGAGATGTAGCTATCATCTGATGAGAGGAGAAAGAAAACCACTCTGGTAAGTTTAAATGTAACAATACAGCATGTATGGGCTCGTAGTGTTTGAAGCTAATTGGTTTGTGTAACACTGTCTTATTGTTTGCATCTAGGGAAGAAGAAAGCAATGCTAAAGGTGGTGTCTGGAAGATGAAAGTACCCAAGGAATGCACTGTAAGTGACATTATCAATACATACATTTTATGTACAATTTACTTATTACTTATATGTTTTTTTAACTATGTTGTCTTTTGTTTTACAGCCTGTTGTGTGGAAGGAGTTGCTTTTGGCTATTATTGGAGAGCAGTTCAGTGATTATTGTCCCTCAGGTCAGTTTCTTGATTGAGTTATGTTAAAATCAAGAGGCTTTTGCAGAGCCTTGCATTTTGCGTATACAATACTTTAACTAAATTGCATGAATCTCATCCTCATCTGCTCTCATTCTTGCAGATGATGAAGTAGTGGGTGTCAGCGTCAGCGTAAGAGACAGAGAAGATGTGTTTCAGGTCTGGAACGGAAACGCTTCTTGTGCTAACGATTCAAACATCTTAAGCAGGATCAATGAGCTCCTTCCCAATATCCCTTTTAAAGCTGTGTTTTACAAACGTGAGTATTTTCTTCAACGACATAATGCTATTTTGAGGCGGTTGACAATGACACAATGACATGTGAGTAATTGTTGTTTTGCTTGTATTTTAGCACACGAGGAGCACCACGCTTTTGAAGGAGGGCGAAGACGTTAGGGTATTTTGCACATCACAGCCCATGAGACGTACATTTATTTTTGGATGTTTTGGATAATATTTGCTCACATATTGAAGCAATAGAGTTTATAGTTGCTTCATCTCGATCATCTTGATTACCTCAAAATGTAGCCCATGGTTTATGATTCTCAATCACTACTGTCATAGAATTATCCAAAATACTTTCACTTTAGTCAAAAGAAAAAAAAAAATGTTACCTTGACTTTTATCTGTAGTGTTTGTGTGTTTTTATACTTTAACATTTTGCAAATCTTTAATCAAAACAGCAGATCATGTACATGTCGGACATTTTTAGATGTATTTTAGCATATTTAGTTTTATTTCATGAGCACAAAGCTAGGTCTCTTTGGATCTAAAAGAAGGCAAAGCAATGTAAGGCTTTTCTAGTGAGTTTATCAGTGTTTTATACGTTACAGCCAAAAAACGTTTGCCTATCATAAATAGTTTGTATGCTCTAATACTGATATTTGAGCCGAAAATTGCACATTCTTTATTGACTTTTTTAGGATACGAGCGGATTGTTTAAAGGAATATGTTCCTGATACAATTAAATGACCTCAGTACACAAATCATGAGTAGATGCTGAGACATATATGCAATCATTTCTATTCTGTAGAATTCCCAGCAGTTTTGCTGTGTCTTGGTTGTCATTTTGTTTAAGCATCTGTCTCAAGTCAAGCATTTTGTTTCTTACTGTGTGTGTGTGTGTTGAAATAACTGAGACCAAACCCACTCTGGTTTATGTCACCTTATCTGATGAAATGTAAAGCCGTTTATTTTTTCTGCTTTTAATAGTAACTAGAGATGTTTAGACGACATGTTGTGTTTTTTATGTATTCATATGACCTGTGTTAAAATGGAATCTGTGAAGCCTGACCCTTGTAGATAATACTGGCCCTAGGAAAAATGTGAACATGCACATGACCCAGAAAAATACGTCACATGCAGGGACATCAGCAGAAAAAAAAGATGTTGCTCTTAATCTTACTCCTAGAGGGACTGCTTGAGGCCTATTTGAGTGTATTAGTACAAACTGTATGTGTTTGGTGAAGTAATGCAACCACTGCATCAGGGTAAAATCTGTATGAAAGCTACTCAGAGATGAATATTCACTATGTCACCAAGACACATCTCAGTGTCTCTGATAACCATAGCTTTTAAGATTTATTTCAGTGGTGATGTAAAAGACTGTTTTTGTATTATTGAATCCTAATTATATTCTGGAAATGTTGAACCATTATACATCTCACCAAAGGCACCTCTTCTGTGTTTGTTTGAGAAGAGGGAGTCAGATTGAATATTGTAGGCTGCAAAGAGCAGAGCTGATTCTTTCGAGTACTAGTACTGTACTACCTAGACATTTGAAGTAATTGTCTATGTTGCAATGAAACACTGCTGCTGTGATTTTATCAATCTAATCAAATGTTAAAGTATTTATGATGATGCTGTCTTGCCTTGGATCCTCTTCTAAAGAATATTGACAGGAGAAGTTAGTTTTCAGACCACCGACTTGGCCAAATTTGCTTTATT